ATATATACATCCTCTCGTCTTCTTGAATGAAAGTTTCTTTTCTATTTCCCATGTATTGTCAGCTTTACCTGTCTCTCTCTCTCTATCTCTCTAATTCATTATGAGAGAGCGAGAGATATGAGATAATCACAAATCTTCAATTAAAAATACCAGAAAAGGATTATTTCCTGCAATGAAACATCCCCAGGTGGAACATGCCCTCAGGGGAATCCCCCCTCTTTCCATTCCTCTCCTTAATCTCTGTCTCGTCGTCTCGTGCAATCTGCAAATAGCATCATCTCCAGTTGTTGCACATACCAAAATGAATATGAAAAGCATACGTAATGAATAAAGGACTCAAATTATATAATTCAATTAAATACTTAATCAAAAGCTTTTTTACGTAACAATCTGTTCAGTTAGTTTGTCTATGGCTTTCGCTTATCCACCCCGCATGTCATCCTTCCTCTTCCTCTCTCAACTCCCTCTCTCTCTCTATGTGTGTCTTTGCTTAGCTCATTCATTATCCTTAACTATATTTTTGTTGAAAGGACAAAAAATTGAATTATATGATATTCATACGCATCTGAAGTTTACTCCCCCCACCCCCCATTCCACTCCCAACATCCCCTTGATCACTTCTAGCGGACATTGCCATCATTGATGTCGGACGATTTTGTTTTTCGAAAAAAAATGAGAAAAAAAAGATAAAAATTGTTTTCTCACCCTCTATAAGCATAAGTTGTAGAGGTTTGCTACGAACAGAGACCCCACATACATACACAAGAAGAGCTGAAAGGCACAAAATGAAATAAAAAAAGATTATTTTTTCCGCATCCGTCTATCATTCGTAGAAAACGAGCCTTCTTGACCTGTCCTTCCATCTACCACGTCTTCAGCGCTCTGTTACTCTCTATCTTGCTCTTTACCTCTCTCTCTCTTTTCATCTTCGTCGTAAGCTCTTTGAAAAGGCTATTTAAAATGTATTTTGATGAGATTTCGGAGAAAAGATGAATATTCTCTTCTAATCAGAACTATCACAGAATACATTGATACTTGGATTCTGAGAGTTACAAACCCCTTGAAAGCTCTCTCTGAACGGGAACGGAAAAATCTTTTTTTGCCTCTTCTAAGAGATTTTAAATATTTTATTTCTTTCATCATAAAATTGCCAAAATATTCTCTTTCAACTCATCATGCTCTAGCCACCCTCTCTCAGCTTGGTTATCTCTCTGAAGCTTTTCTTATCTCTCTTCATACAAACTGCTTAAGCTTTCTTATTCTTTTCCATCTACCTTGCGTGTGAAGATTCGCCTACCACCTTCCGTCTGGTTGATGCCTTCCTTCCCTCCAGTTTTCTGTATTTGATCCTTTCATTTAATGAGCCACCTCAATCAAAACATTCTTTATCCTCAATCCTCACTTCTTCAAGCTGTTTCACTGTTTTGACCTCTCTCTATCCCTTCCTACCTCCCTCTTCCACACACTCCTTTCACAGGAACGTTTCCCCTCGTAACCTAATAAGATTTCAGAAACTCTTCGCAAACTTCATAAGAAGCTTGAATGAAAGAATGACTTTGTGTGCGCGTGTGTTGTTCATATGACGAACAGTTATCTTTTGAACTCCCCCTTCCATCCCTCCCTCACTCCCTCCCTCTATTCATTCCCTTTTACCTTCTTAGACCTTTTCATCCAGAATTTTCATGTTTTTCAAGAATTTTCAATCTTTTTTCTCCTTTTTTTTATTATTTAACTTCTATCGAAAAGTTTTTTTATGTTCAAATATCTTATTGTTGGCATTGTTTGGTCACGAGGTAAAGTTTCAAAGCCAATTGCCTTCGGCAACTTACCTCTGAACCTGTATTGAACCTTGAAGAGAGGGGGGGTCTGTACTGTCGTTCTAATTCAATCATTTCAACTTCCTTATATGTTTTGCTCTTCATTCAGCTTCTCTTTCTGTCTTCATTCACTCTCTCTCTCACACAATCTTCTCTGTGTTAACATTCTGTCAAGTAAACAGCATGAACAGAAGTGAAAGGAAGATGAAAAAGGAAACGAAACGAAGCTAAGAGGTAAACGACAACATCACAAAGGTCAGAATACTTGGAGAATCTTATCTTTCAGTTTCGTTCTTGTCTTCCTGTAATCCATTCTCCTCTCTCTATCTATCTATCTCTCTGTTCAGCTACAACCTTAAACCATTCCAAACTTTTAAATTTCTCTCATTTACTTTCCATGTAAACTCATTAGAAACAATTTCCACTTCCGGCTATATCAATTCTCTCTACCAATTCTTAAAGCAGACGACCTACGTTATTTCTGTTTTCATTCAAAGCTTTTCCGTCATCCTCATCTATACTCATTCCCTCTCTCTCTCTCTCTGTACATTTTTCTCTCTCTCTCTCTCTATCACTCTCTTACAAGTTACTAACTCTCACCTTCTGTTTTCTTTTTCAAACAAACAAATAACGATTTTATAATGAAATATGTTGTCTGTTAATCTGTTCAGCTTTCACAATTTGATAAACTTCTAATTCCCTCCTATCCCCTCTCTCTCTCTCTCTCTCTTTCCCTCTTCGTCTCTCTGTAAGTCTTTCCCTCCTAAACATATCGTTTGAACGTAAAAAGTGCTTTTGCATATTATGGTGGGTAATTTCTCTGAAAATCTGTTAATCTCTGAGACTCACACAACCTATTCAGCTATTTTTGTCGTTTCAAAGTAATTTTACTAAAAATTAAAGTTGTTTTGTTTACCTGAATCATGTCTCTCTCTCTTTCACTTTCTCACTCTCTCTCTCTCTCTGTCTTTCTACCTTGTTTCCCTTTTCATTTCTCTCCTTCTTCATCTCTCACTCTTCCCACATCTCTCTTGCAAGACAAGAGAAAGAACATCAAAGCATATGCTTCAGAGAGAATGAGAGAATGCAAGAGAACGAAGAAGACCACAAACCGATTACTGACAATCTCTTTATTCTTTCTTTTTCTCTTCTTATTTTTTTGAATTTGAAAAATGAGGAGAAAAAAAAAATTTTCTCAACAGCAGCAGCATATTTTATGTTCAATCAGGCTATCAAACTATTCTTCCACTTTCTGCTCTTCTTCGTATTCGTCATCGTCCTCGTCATGGTGTCGTTTGCTTCTTTCCCTCCCCTTCTTCTTCTGTCTCTGTCTCCATCTTAATCTCATTCCTTATTTTCATCAAATTTTTGTTTCCAAATAGGGTTAACTCAGGTATTTCAAGTCTTTGAACTCGATTAAGCTTGCATCCCGTTGATTTGAAAGCAACAACACAGAAGACTATTTGTTTGATTTTAAAACAACAACTTCCTATTTTGACCGGAAACAGCTTGTTCCAAAAACCTCCAACGCTCTTCCTTCTATCCTCATCCTCTTACTCTCTCTTTCTCTTTCTCTCTACCTCTCTCTTCAATACATCTTGTCTCTCTCTCTGTTTTATTTTTTTGTTTAAAAGAAATTCATTTTTTTTTCCTTTTTTCAGATTATTTGTTTCGTCAAAGGAGATTATGGTTCTAATTCAATCATCCCTATGCAGCAACGAAGTTCAAAAAAAAAATGTTTCAGTTCTCTCCTTCTTCTCACCACCATCAAAGATCTTTGAGGCTTTTCCCTCTAGTACCTTTGTTCTTGGAAATTTTTCATTTTGGATTACTCTTTGAATCTTTACCATACAGCTCTTCCTCCTCTCTCTTCCTCTCTCTTTCACTTTCTCTTTGAAGGTTTTTTCTTCCTTCTTCCGCATTCATCTTATCGTTCTTCCGTTCCTTTTAAAGAACCACTTCACCGTTCTTTTATTCCGTCATAACCCTTCCTCCTCATATGTTCGCTACTCTGTTTGATACAAAGATAGAGAGAGAGAGAGCTTTTCAAGTATTCATTTATCACTCTGATTTCCCATTCCAGAGGTTTAGAGTCATAGAGCTCCGATGATGTATTGTCCACTCGCATCATAGCCTATCATCTAAGATTATTAAGTTAACCAAATTCTTTTCTTCTCTTTTTATTTTTGTAGTCTTGTATGGTCTTTGGTTAACCATGTGCTTGTACTCTCCTCTTCACAAGATGTTTTCTATTGTCTTATTTTCTTTCTAACCTGGGAAGGAGAAGGAGCTTCCACGACAGATGAGATAGAGAGAATGAGAGAAAAAAGTTTCGAAGAGATTTCTGTCAGCAAACATTACCACACAAACCTTTTCTAACTATATCGCACGCCACTGTTCAGCCTTTTTTTTGTTCTTAATTGCATTATCGTTCCTTTATCTCTTTGAAGGAGGCGAGAAGAAGCTAGAGATGAAGCGTATGCAAGATGAAGAGACTCTAAGAAGAATAGAGTTCCAAGAAAAAAAAAGTTTATGAACAATCTTGAGGAAGCATCCAAGTTGTTAACTTCAAAAGCAGGATAGAAAGTCTCCGGCAATAGAGAGCATGGATGTTTCTCGTTCGTTCAGAACAACGTCGAAGAATTTTCAATTGTTTCTTCCCTTGCTGTCTATTTTCCATCTCAAAATGCATCATCGCTTCTGATTTTAAGTTGTCTCAAAATCATTTATAACATCCAGTTCAACTTTCTCTCTCTCTCTCAATCTCTCTCTCTCCCTCTCTCCCATTTCATCTCAAAACGAATATATAATAATGTTTTTTGGGTACAGCTGATCGAAAGCTGACCTTTATTAGGCATTTCCAGTCTGGAAACTTTTGTTTTCTTCCCTCTCAAGTTGTTTGTCTCTCTCTCTCTTTATCTCTCCATTAGCCTCTCTTCCTCCCAGCTACTCATCGCATACTTCTATTTCTGGTGCTGATTCGTCTTATATGAGATCAACCGCTCATCATGTGCATATCTGCATAAAATGATTTTCGAGCTTTACGTGAAACGTCAGGAGTGAGCTCACGTAAAAGCTATTGTCATGCTTGTTTTACTTCCTTGTTTTCTTCATCTAGTTATAACTACCATGCTCTTGCTATAAAGAATATTCAAATTTTTTATTTTCTCAGATAGGCACGAAATGAATGAAGCCTTGGAGATTGGTCGTCTTATGTGCAAACCACCGGCACCCAGTAATTTCACTCTGCCAGACGATTTACGTGATAAATTATATTGTCAAGCATTCAAAATCGTTGTTCCATTGTGAGTTCTAGAGAGAAGGCAATCCGGAAGTAGATGACAATCACAAAAGGAACCTCAAAGATGCAACTTACTTATTCATCTGTTGTAGACATGTAGCCGTCTTCGTCAATACGGCCTTCTTACTTCTTATCTTTATGGCAGCAGCAGGTAATGCAGCTGTTATGTGGATAATAGCCAGACACAAAGTATGATCGAAGCTTTCTCTTCACATCTTCATTCATCCATTATTATAGACAATGAGAAATGGCTTTAACTTCTTCTTATTCAATATGGCTTTCGCTGACTTGATGATTGCTGTACTCAACGTTGGCACCTCATGGACATTCAATCTCTACTATGATTGGTGGTACGTTGAAGCTTAATCATTTCCTTTCTACATTAGTTATAACGTTCCTCTTCATTGCTAATGATTCAGGTATGGCAGTTTATGCACTCCGACTTCCTTTTTCGGAATCGCTCCAACTTCCGTATCTGTTTTTTCAATGATGGCACTCAGTTGGGATAGGTGCGTTCAGTTGATTTACATAATCATATGTATGGGTTATAGAATGAAAGCTGTTATCCATCCATTACCGAACAGTACTTTTAGCCGAAAACAGGCAATTATCGTTATTTCAATTATATGGATTGTTAGTACATTAACAGCTCTGCCAAATACCATTTTCGCTACTGTTAAGGAGTTTTGGTAAGCTTACATCTCATCAGAGACACACATACACACATCTCATTCAATATGTTCAGGTTCTATAATCCTCGTTTCGATTCAATCGAGATTACTCATTCGTGCACTTCGGAATTGGATCATAATCATAACAAAGTGTGAGTTCGCTTACCTCTCTTTCAATATCTCTCTCTCTCTCTCCCTCTAAACCCTCCTTCTTCCTTTCTCACCCATCCTATTACTTCATGGAAGTCTCGTAAATAGGTTTTGGGAAAAGAAAGAATCCATCTCACTCCTTATCGCTTTGTTGACAGTTATCGCCATGGTGCTTTGAACTGAAGGAATAGCTTGACCTTTTCAACGTCCTCAGGTTGCTCCAAAGCTTTCTCAAGCTTTTCCTTTGTCCTATTGTTCCTCATTTAGATAGATATGATGTTCTTGTAATGCTATCATCTTTCAGGATAAACTATATATTATTTGTTACTCAATATGCTGTCCCATTAACTGTCATCGTTTACATCTTCGGTCGCATCTACTACGAGCTGTACATCAGTGCTGAAGCAGCACTGAAGGAATGCAAAGGAGCATCAGCTAACCGTGCAAAGGTATGTTCCCATATGTACTAATCCAATCAACCCGAGTTCATTCGTATTAAAGGCGGTCAAGATGTTAGCTGTGATGGTTGGAGCATTTGGTTTCAGCTGGTTACCATATCATATGTATCATACATTTGAATTAAGTGTAAGTCATTAGCAATTCTATCTGTTCAAGACCAATATATCTCTTTGAAGGAATATTTTCCGCAATCGGATGATACATCCGAATATACATATTTGGCTATATACTGGATAGCAATGAGTACAACTGTTTATAATCCAATCATCTATTGTCTTGTCAATGAACGGTACGTCATCTATCTATCCTCATCCTGCTTATCCACATTTTCATAGATTCCGTCTGGGATTCCGATATGTCTTCCGATGGTTACCGTTTGTTCATTGTTCACGAGGAGAATACGAATATTCTCAGCTTTTCCCTGAACGCATGAGAAGTATGGAAATTTCGTTGCAACTTAGTGGACGACAAGGACGAAGTAAGAGATTTCTTGTTTTTGTATTTCTCACGCCAAACATTGAAGGAGTCTCATCCAACTGCCAATACTTGACTGCCAGTCAGAAAGCTTACTTGAGTAAAGTTCCAATGAATTATCAACACATTGATTATCAACGAAGCCGCAAGACCTATAGGAATGATCTTTAACTTTTTTTTTTCATTTTGTGTTCTCATCCTCTCAAAGTAAACTTGTAACACGTGTTTCTTCATATTACTTGTACAAAAAGGAATTCAGGTCTTTCCTCACTCTCTCTCTCTCTCTCTCCCTCTCATGCTCTTAAACTTTCCATCTCATCCAACATCTCACACAAACACTCTCTCTCTCTCTCTCTCTTCTGTTCACTATAGAGAGAGAGCTTCAAGCACAGCAGCTCACATAACACTCCTTGTTAACTGAGCATTCTCACTATTCTATTAAATATGATTCTTTATGTTAATTTTCAGTATCTCTTCCGCTTCAAATGAATATTTCTGCCTTATTTTTCATAGTTGAACTCTGAACAAGGACAATTTCATAAGCTTCTTGGTCTATTGCCAGCTTTTCGTCTTAACTCAACTCTCCCCCCCCCCTTCACACAAACCCAAATTCTACTCCCGTCGACACACTCGTTCTTCCGGGTTTTATGATCGTTTTTCATTTCTTTAATTGTTCTTTTCTTTCTATCAAATCGAGCTTCTGTTCATTTGAAGGCTTTCGCAAGTCACTGATGCTTTTCCATTCTTAATTCCCTTAGGGCTACTTCAGAATACTGAAAAACCGACGTCAGCATTCACTCAATCTAATTGACTGACGGACGAGAAAATGCAAAAATCTGAGGTCACGCATGAACTTTTTCAATATCAACGACTCATCTTATGTAATTCAAATATATATTTATATAGAAGCTTAGATGTTGTAAGCTTGCATGATGATTAGGGATAAAGGAGGATAGGGATAGCAATGTACTCTCAGAAACATAGAGAAGGATGCTGAAGCGTTTTCGTCTTCGTCTCCTATGCTTTCATTGGCGGCTTCAGATCACACATCAACCATCTGAAATTTCGCTATTTGCAGGAAGAAATAAGTGAGCAGAAGGAGAACAACTCCAGTAGGGCTGCATCTATTGCACGTCACCTACATGCCCTCAGGCTATAGTCGATGAATTCTCCATTGAGAAACGACTCAGATTCTTGAAGCATGTTGTTCATCATCATTAGAACAAGAATTCTATCCTAATTTATATTTTGCCGTTACACTTACATATCTCACTCTCTCCCTCTCTCTCTCTCAAGCTTTATCTCATTCATTCTAAGAGGGAGACAATTAGCTGTTGCGGTAGACGAAAAGAAGAAGAAGAAGAAAAAAAAATTATTTATGTTGAAAGACAGAAGAAGCTTAAACCAAAATCTTCAGAATTCATAATTTTAAAGATTTTCTCGTTTCTTTCCATCCTTTCTCATTTACTCCTCTTTCCCATTCCTCTTTTCATCCATTTGTTTCAGTTCGAAGCTTCAAACTGAACTTCATTAAACAATCTAAGCTTCATGAAGAACTTTTAATCACATCTATTCAACTTCTTTTACGGCTCTTTCATCTTTTCCGCTTAATCATCATCAGCTTTACGTTCTTTTAAGATGTTTTTGAGATTTAGGACGTTCTGTTCAGTTATGATGAGCAATGAAGAAGAGGTTGATGCTCTTCTCGGTTTCATATATCACACAACATGTATACAAATTTGTGTTTCTTAACCGTTTATGCTAATTCAAAATATGCAAATGATTTGCATGACGTAAGCACGTGCAGTCATCTTTCATTTTGATTTCAAAGTTTGTCAGCTAGCGGTTGCATTCAAATTTTTTTGATTCCCTTCTCCTTCATCTTCTTTCCATCTTTTCATCTTCATCGTTTTTTCAGCCCTTTTTCCTGTCATTCAGTATTCGTCTCGTTGTTGCCGTTCTTCTATTCGACTTTCATTTTGTTGTCTCTTTGCTTCATCTAAGCTTCAGCTTTTCTACTTTCTGTTTCTTTTTCCTTTTTTTTTTCATTTCTCCCATTTTATTCTTCCTTTTCCCGAAAGTTTCTAATTGAAAGCATACGAGAGATGGTGATAGATCATAGTTAATCGTGTCAGGACCTAATTATCGCTTTTGTTGATGTCGAGTGTCGAGTAATGAGTTAGACGACAGCTCCTGTGAGATGAGCTTGATTAGCAACTTGCTCTGCATCCATGTCATTCAGCTTTTTCTAAAAAAAATTTTCTATTTTTCTTCTTTTTCTTTTTTCTTCTTGTGCATCGTCTCTTCTTAGATGTTCATTCGTGTCTGATGCTTTCTACTCTTCTCAACAGTTCTCGTTGATTTCTTTATATAAAAGCGATTTGTTCTTCCTTATTTGTCTTCCTGTTGTCATTCAATGTCAAAAAAAGAGAAGAAGAAGAAAAAAAAACGAAAATTCTTTAACAAAAATTGATGAATTTCATCTACTTGAAGACACATGCACATGCATGCATGCTACTCCAGCCATCAACACAAATCCTCCCTCCCCCCCCTCCTCACCCCTTCTCTGTTCTCATCTTTTGGACCATTTTTTTAATTTGTTTTCAAAGAAACTTCAATTTGAAAATGATTAATTTTGAGCTTGAAAACGAACTTAAAAGCTTATCCCGCATGATATAGACAATGACAGAGATATAGAGAGAGAGAGAGAGAGTAGAGGAATGAATGGAGAGAGGATGGAGAGAAGTGTGTCGATGTAGTGAAAGATGCTCGTCTTGACCATAATCGAAAGAAAAACAAGATTTATGCAGCTAGAAAACATTGAAGAGTATATCTACTTTCTTACAAAGACAACATGATAAGTTTAAGCTTATTTTCCTTTTTTTTCCTTTCTCAACCTAATCGAACTGCCAAAGCTGCTGCTGCTGTTGCTGTTGTTGCTGCTACTGGTATAGCTGATGATAGTGGTAATGCTCTTGTGTCTCTTTCTATTCCTTCATCGTTCTCGTGATGGTTATAGCCAATGGCTGTAGAAGGCACGAACGGAGATGGAAGAAGAGAGAGAGAGAGAGGGGGGTCCAGATAGAGAGAGAGAGCGAAGTCGTTTTTTATGATCAAAAGGAGATAAATCAATCATTTTCTTATCAGTTCCAAAAAATTGTTTTACAAAAAAGGATAAAAAAGAATTGTTTTCTTAACAATCACACGGATAGAGAGAGAAAGAGACTGAGAGAGATAGAGAGAGAGAGAGAGAGATCCTTCCATCCATCCATCAAAGCCATTCATTAGGTCATCGTTCTCGGATTCACAAACGTTCTACTTTCGTTGTTTAAACAATTTGTTCTTTTCTTTTGATGACTTCACTTGTTGGACGTCGTGTGGTTGTAGAATAACATTGTTTTTTCCTTTTTTAACTCATATTCATTTACACATTTGCATATTCTATTATTTGTCATTAACATCAGGTAACATCTTTCATAAAGAGCATTAGAGACTATACCTATACAGGAGAGCTAGTCAGGTTGTGAGAGTGAAAAAACACATGAAGACCCTCAATCGCAATGAAGGCACACACACACACACACATACACGTATAGAGAGAGAGAGAATGAGAAGGAGGGCGAGAAGAGGAAAAAGTAATTCTCTTCTCTCTTATCCTTTGATTCCATGAAAACTTTTTATTTCTCCAAAAGCTATTTGTTTTCTTAAAAAAAAAGGAGAAGAAGAAGAAGCAATAAGCTATTAGCTTCATATCTGAAAGAGAGAGAGAAGTGTCAAAGGAGCCCCCTGGTAATGTTAGAGAGAGAGGGGCTAAGCTATAGAGAGAGAAAGAGTAACAGAGAGAGAGAGAGAGAGGAAGTCACAAAAAATGAGAGAAAACTTCTAATTTCTTTCGTTCAAATGAATTTCCGATTATGGACACACATTTCTCTCTCTCTTTTTTGGCGAGCAGAAAGGGTTGAAAATAAATATTTTTTTATTCAAATTTTTTGTTTTCCGGATCTACGAAATCCGGAAACAGAAGATTTCTTTATGAAAAAAAAAGAAAATAAAATAAGGAGAAACCTCCTTGTCTTACTCTCTCTCTCTCTCTCTGTCTACCTCTCTATTACGTTCGTTAGCCTTCCCCCCCCCCTCCTCTCTCTCTCTGATACTCTCTTTCTATCTGTATAGCTTTCCTTGTTCTGACGGCCTTTCGTATAACTTTCACAACTTATCAATCTAGCATTTCGTTCATCTTCATTGTACGGAGCAGGAGCGAACACATTGCAATTCTGTCTTTGTCAGAAGCATCTTCCTACCTCCTATCCTTCTCTACTCTCCCTTCCATCCCTTCGATCCTCCTCAACCCTCGTACCACTTTGATGAATTTTTATTATTTTTAATGAAATTTTTGTTTATATTTTGTGCAATTTAGCTTTCATCTCATCATGTTCATTGCTGAATCATACGGAATACGCCAACAACAGACTTCTGATGACATCGGCCGTTGTCGTCTTCTTGGCCCGTCTTCCATTTACGTCCATTTTCTCTCATTTTTTCTCTCTCTCTCCTTTTTCCTTCATTAATTTTTCTCTCTATTTATAGCTCTTTACTCTTTTTCTTCTTGTATTCTATTCCTCCCTCCCTATTTTGAATTCTTAAAGTCTCTCTCTCTCTCTCTCTCTCTCTCTATCTCATTGCTGTTAACCCCTCTTCACCCCTCTAACCCCTCATCTCTCTGTAGCAAATCATATGAGAAGCATCTTCTTGTTCTGAATTTCTAACTTCTTGCCTGTCAAATAAACGGTTGAACAACATCTTTTTTCTGATTTCATAAAACTGTTCTAACTTGATCCAATTAGTTGTTTCGTATAACTAACAACTGTTTTTCATATCCCAAAAAACGATTGTCACTACTCGTCTTCATCATAACCTGTCTTTTCGCCTCTTTTTTACCTTTTAATATGTATCATTCTCTCTTTCTATCATCAATCTCTCTCTCTCTTTATGTGTATGTCTTGTTCCATGTTGTAAGCTATCATACTCTTCTTCCCTCCCTCTCTCTCTCTCTCTCTCTTTATAGTTTCTTTAACCCTTGTTACATTCATGTTATCTTCTCTGTTCCTGTTAAGCCGTCTCTTCAGCTAATCCCTTCTACTCTTCCTCTCTATCTCTTCATACCTTTAACTGCTATGATTTGAACATTCCTCTTCAAAAGTTGTTTCGCATTCATCACTCTCTCTATCTCTCTATCTCTCTATCACCTATTCCTCTTCTCTTTGACAAATAGCTCATTATGAGACATCAATTAGTTTGACAATTAACAAATATCTTTCGTTGTTCCCATCAGTCATCTGTGTGTTCCATGTTTGTCCAACAAAATTATTTTGAACAACCATTGCATCGTCCATGCTTCACAATGCGATTGGAGCGCAATGACCACAACGAAATGTGTATGTGTGTGTGTCTATGTCTGCGACGATAGGTGTGTGAGTGTGGGTATGTGTGTCTATCTTGGTGTAGATGATATGCAATTAGTTGTTTTTGACCTGATAACATTTCCAAACAAACAAATTCAATTATAATTCAATTAGAGATCTCCCTTCATTTCCATCATACAAAGCCAACATAGCATATAACACACGCAGCACACGCAGCCACACCACCACCATCCCACATACAGCGTCCGCATGAACCAAAACCAAAAAAGGAAAAGAAAAAAAGAATTTTTTTTCCATGAGAATAGACACGAAATTCAATTATTCAAAGCTTTTGCGCGCCAAACAATATTTTACATTTAATAACAGGTAAATTTCATGTTTATGAAACATGCATACATCCTCCTCTCCCTCTCTCTCTCTCTCTCTTCACATCCATTGGACTTGCCTTTGATCTTCTTCATCTTCTTCTTCTTCTTCTTCTTGTTCACTTTACCTCTCTAATTCCTTGTCGCTTTTACTATTTCCAGCTTTGAACAAATCGATTTTATTTTGTTTGAGCACAGTCTTTGACGTCTGTTTGCACAGAAGAATCATCACTTCGTTTCCTATCAATACATTTCATCATTCACTTTCTATACGTTTCTTTCAAATATGCTAATTCACACATTACGTTTGTTACGTGAACCAACCGACACTCGTAAACCACATGTACATGACTCACATGTGCCTGGCATGTATAGCCATTTCATTTTCATACGCAGGTAGTGATCGGTTGTGTTTTTCTGCTTTTCCTCTCTGTTATTCTCACTTCTATCCCTCCCCTCTATTACTTTTTCTCTCACCTCTTCCTCTCTCAGTCTCTCTCTCTCTCTCTCTCTCTCTAAGCATTCTTTGTAAGATATTAGTAAAAAGATTTATATTTTTTTATATTCTTAAAACTTTTGTCGTTTTCTCTAATCTTCTTCATAGTCTTCAGATGCTAATCTTCTCACTTTAAAAGGTTTCAATTGGCTTCTTACTTTGATTCCTCCTCCATTGCGTCTTACCCACCCCAACTTGACAATCCTAACCCTCTCACACTCTCTTAGTAAGTTGTGTTGTGTATGTGTCTGTGTATATGGAAGGAAGGGGGGGGGGATGTGTATGTGTGTGTGTGTGTGCGCTTTTGAAAATCCGTCTTCATCTTATTACTTTCTGAAACATTCTCGGTATTTCATCATTAGCATCCATTTCATACATTTATGTGTTGGAATCTGTCAATCCTCAGATGAATTCATCTTCATATCCCTTCATACTCTCACAAAATTTCTCATTTTCATTGCCTTTTATGGTTCTCTCTCTTTCTCGCCCTCCATGTCTCAAAGGAGTTCTCACATCTCATTCTCTTTCTCTCTCTCTCTCTCTCTGGTTCATATTAAAGTCTCTTTATCTTTCTCTCTCTCTTTATATCTCATTCATTCTCTTCTAATGCATGAATCAAAGAGAGAAAAAATATGTTTTTCCCTCTCAACTTCTGAAATTCTTTCCGTTCATAGAGTAATCTTCATAATCTATAGAAGAAGCATTTGCATCACAAAAAATGTTCTTATTCTCCAATCATCATTGAATTTCCGATTTCAAGAAGGAAACGCCAATAGAAAGGCAATTCTCAAATAATTCTTGACGACGACGCTAGCACAAGATATCATCTGTCGGATGAAGTCACAACGTCGTTTATAACAAGTCTCTCTCTCTCTCCTTTTTTAAAAATTTCATTTCCATATATGTATATTTGTTCGTTTTTCTCAAAAATTAATAAGAAAGATATGTGAGAGATAGAGAGTGAGAGAGAGGGAGATTGAGAGAGTATGATTCCCTGTTCTCGTCGTCAGTAGTTGGTTGAGGCTGAGAAAAAACATTTTTCCATTCGTCGTTGATTGAACGAAGATCGGAAGTTTTGTGTATTTCTTCAGAAGGCATAGACATATCCCTCTCTCTCTCTCTCTCTCTCTACCTCCACTACCCTCCCTTACCTCTTCTCCTTTTTTACCTTTTATGTGCATTTATTGTTCTAGTGGGATAATATTACTTCAAAAGAATATTTCATAAGAAAATGTCCCCATAAACTCAATTTCCCGTATGAAACTACCCTCTATGTGTCAGTTTGCTGTGTTTAAAGCTGAATTTGTGCTTGAAAGTAAGTCATTAAATAACCAAATGAGAGCTACATCTAGCTGAAGGAAGGTTTCAAGGAATGAGAAAGGGAGAGTGTCAAATGCTCACAGAGAGAGAGAGAGAGGATGGAAGTCTCGGCTTCATTGAAGTTCTCTAGGAAGCATAAAGAGTGTAAGCTCAACCACTGTATATGTAGATTGATTTCCCTCTCTAAAAAAATCATAAAAAGAAAATTCCCTTTTAAGAAAATTAAAAAGTGTGAAGATAGAGAGAGGGAGGTAGTTGAAGCATAAGTCCCTCTCTCTCTGTTTATCCATACTTCTTATACCCAAAATCAAATGAACTACAATGAGACAGGGTGACATAGAGAGAGAGAGAGCGTGAACAGAGAGAAAACTGAAATGATTGAGGTTTTGAAGAAGAAGAAGAAGAAGATTTCAGAATATCTTCATCGTCGTCCCAGATTGATGTTGTGTGTGATTTGTGACAGATTAGTTCATCATTAATCGTAATTTCTATTAAAGTCTTTGTTAAATGGCTTGTCATATCATATTAAGTGAGACGTCGTCGTCGTCGATCCTTCTGTCGTCATCATGAAACATACCTAAATTCTAATTTTTTTGTTTCATTCATTGACTGTCAGTCAACTGCATGAAGAACAAGAGTTGTTGTTTGTCATCCCATCTACCTCCCTCTCTCTCTCTCTACATATATCTCTCTCCCTCTATATATCTCTCTCTATATCTCTCTCACTCTCTCTATCTTCGTGTTTTTGTTTATTTGATTTAAATGTTTAATTTTATTGTTGTTTTCAGTCATATGAGGCGATGTTATTTGATTTTTGTGATAATAGGATTGTCTCAATCCCATATACAGGTATATCACTCAATTACTTTTCTAAACAGAGGGATTGAGATAGAGAGAACTCTCTCTCTATAGAGAGGGAGTGTGTATGTGTGTGTGTTGAATAGAGTAGAGCAGAGAAAGAGAATGTTATTATTCACCGGAAATAGTACATACATATGAAGGTGCTATTCCTTACATATACGAATACAGATCTAATGCTTAACAGTATCTGGGCATAGCACGAACTTCAGCTAACGTCTGATCAATCTTATCCAAGAATCTGTCCTTTGGACGTGATGTTACCTTCAATGGATATATATATTCTATTTTGAATGAGATGCTCTTACTTGGACGAAGTTTGATCCGATTATTCGAGAATCTTGACTTCTTACGTATGGATGGCTTTGGTAGAGATATGGTGAGAGTGGAGAACTGAAATTATGCAAATTGGCCTTTCATTCCTTATTCGGTGACATGTTAAGAGCTCTGTTCATTTAGTTTGTAAGCTATAGTTATGGTCAAACAAACAAGATAGTTGAAAAACTGTTTCAAAAAGTCTTTGCGTGGTGTTGTGTGTCCGGTTGTCAAGTTTCATTTGAATCTTCTTATATGGGCAGTTATGGAGAAGTTTAAAACGAAATGCCTTCATCATGTTACATCCAATTCAAATTTAATTTTTGAGTTTTGTGATGAAAAGATCATGATGACATTTCATTTTGTCATTTGTTGAGAATTGGCAACAAGAGAGGGAGAGAGGGAGAGAGAGAGAGGGAGGTCTTCAATTGGATTCAGTTGTTGTTGTGTTGATGCAACTTCTAGAGGGAGCATTTACGAGACGAAAGAATCAAACAGAAAATTACAAAAACGCTTTTCAACACGTGATGCGTGAAAGGGGTGGGGGGGATTTGCATTGAAGCTGTTGTTAGTTGATTACTTTTCTTATAAACTCACTACATATAGCCATGATAGGCGTATGACATATCGTCTGGACTGAAGAGTTATTCGTTAGAAAAACCATTTGAACCTTCACTCTCTCTCTCTCTCTCTCTGTCTGTCTGTCTATTACTCTCATCTCTTCTATCATCTTATATCCCTCTCACTCTCTCTATGTTCGTATAAGACTTACCTCTCAAAACCCTTGTAATCAATGATTGTTTTATGATTGTTCTTCTCATAATCTTCATCAGCTTTATCTTTGTAGGATGAATAGACACCCTATAAACTATGAATGTGACCTACAAAGACATGAATGAAACATACACGTCCGAATGATAAATCATTTGGATCTTTCTTCATATTTCCGTAAGCAATTGCATAATATTCACTCGATTGTTTTGGAACATAAACTTGATAATTGCGATACAAAGCATTCTGAAATAACAACCACGTCATCTGCATCTCATCAGATGAGATGTCATTCTTACATCGTTGCTCTTCAGTCCGAGTTCATCATACATTGCTTCCAATGGTGTTTTGAGTAGATCATCGTCGTACTTATCATCTAATGCTCCACGACCCAAGGTTCTTTCCATCTTCAACATTGTGCTGGCTGATATTCCTTTATCTGTTGCCATTTGATGGGAATCCTATAAATCCATATCAGATTATACATCCTTCAAATCTCTGTCATCCTCTCATATCACTCCTATCATATGTTGTGCTCACCCTTTTAAGACGATTTGATGGATGAAAGATGTTCTTGACATAGCTCTCGTAACTGGAAGTAACAGGGCCACCAGGAAGCAAATCTCTGAATATGAGAAACCAATAGAAATTTAAAAAAATGAAACTAACGATCCATAGCTCTTAGATCTCTGAGCTGGTCGACGTTCAGTCCATCCCAAGTATTCAGACATTCTAGAAGAAAAGTGGAAGTGAAATGAGCTATTAACAACTTCAAGACAAGGTGTAGGGAATGTTGTGTAACAATAAGATTCAATAGGTAAACAAGTATCGATGAGCGTAAAGTAAGATGAAAAGCTGGGATAATGCTCAGTCAGCAGCTCATCTTCCATATTATCATAATACCGATTGTACCTTTTTGTAATTTATAATAAGAAGTATATAAGAGTGTTAAAGATAGAGAGAGAGAAAGAGATGGATGCTAAAGGAAGTTACAGAAAGCAAAAGCTCTTTGTGAATGAGATAAAGCTGAAGGCATCTCCTGCCATTTTACACAAAGTTTTTGAGAAAAAGACGAGGCAGAGCCAACGAAAGAGATTGCCTATTGATTATGTCATTCTATCTTCTATTGCGAGTTGCTCTCTGTTAAAAAGCCGGAAAAATCTTTTTTGTCTTTTCGTTACGAACTGATCACAAGCTGTTTCTGTGTGGCATCTGTTGAAGGAATATTTTAATTGTGTTAAACGGCGGAACCCATAGATATCAGTAAGAAATTATAAAGTTCGACATTATATATCTATGATGTGGGTATTCCATATGGGTGAAGATTAGATTATTAAGTTAAGCTGTGAAGCATTTCTAACGGCAGCTTACTTCATAAGCAATTTGAAAGATACATCTTTGGCGTATCTCAGTTGCGTGTAAAAAATCAAAAACAAAATGATTTGCCATCAACTCATGAATGCTCATTGCAGTCCGAAGAAGAGAAATGGGAACTGATTGGTAGTCGAACTTATAATTGGGAAGGATCATCTGTATTACGATGTCGTCATTGGGATGAAGTAGCTGTAAGGTATATTTAGTATTATATTTTAATAAATATTAATATATAATTGATTAGATGGCATCTGTCAACTTGTGGTTCACGTCATGCTAAACGTCATTGTGAAGGAGGGACAAATGCTCATTTAGCAACACATGCACAAGAATATCATGAACTGCCTCGTTGGGAAAATGCATTCACATACGTTCAACTGCCAACTGATATAGAACATGATCATGTATCACCATTTATTGCGGACATCCTTAACATCTTAAAACATTTAGAATCAAATATTACATTTGGGTATGGATGGTTATGATAACCATGTTATGAACTTGACAAGTATCACTCCATTGAAGATTGATGTTGATTGGAAATGGACAAAAGATAAGAATGATTGTAATCACTTTACTGTTAGGTAAGAGTTCAACTAGTATGCATTCAGCTAACTATATGTTATTACAGAATGTCAGCTATGAGCACGATTGAGAAACATCGCTTAGGAGAGTTAGAACAGTTCTGTCGCGCATTCGATAAGGATGGATTCGTCATATGTGATAATTTATGATTGTGATTCTACTTGTCAGCTTTATCATAGTTACATCATTATCATGACATGGAAGTGTTCCATACTTCTTCTATCTACTTCATAGTCTCTACTTCTTCATCGTCATTCTCTTCTTCTTCTACAGTCTGCTGAAGAAGTAGATGTGAAGAGAATGATGATGTCTATCTATACAAGCCATCAAGCATTCGAATAGCTGTTGCCTTCAGATGTTTGATTTGGTCATTACGGGAATTTTCATATTAATTCTTAAATTGTTACTCAGGTAAAGGTATTTTACCTGTCAGTTTATCCAATTAAGCCCGGTTTGATAAGCTCTCTCTCTCTCTCTTCCCCTCTCTCTCTCTCTCTCTTTTAGTAGTGCCTTTCAAATGTTTTATTTCGTTGTCGTCATCATACTTACATACGTGCTTCAGTTACAAATTCACTTCATTGGGTCACAATTGCCTTTGTACAGAACAAGAGAATAAAAGAATTTTTTATTGAACAATCATTGTTTCTTATCTGGTCATTTCATTTTTAAGTGTTATATTGATTAACTTATCATAATAGGTGCTTGTGTTAGAGATGATGAGGTTGCTCATCTTCTTTCTATTCCTCAAAGCTTTTCATGCTAAAGGTAAGCTTCATCTTCTTCTTTCTTCCCACCAACTCCTCAATCATGAGTTCCATCTTCATTTGCACCTTCAGAATGCTATGTTGAGCCATGTACAAGAGATATCCTCTTCAGTCTTGACAATTCAATTAACATGGATAGTACGACAAACGTTGCTGAAGTCTGTCGTTCCATTCATTTTACCATACAAGGTTAAATATTTTTTAGGAAATCAATTTTGTTGAAAAATTGACGGCTAACTGGACACTTCATCAGAATAAAGTTCGAACTGCCTTGTTTGGATATCTGTTTGTTAATAACTATCAATATTCATCTTACATTGATGATAGGTTCTCATAGATTATCGCTATCATCTACTTATCCATTGCTTTAAGAACAGATTTCCAATCCAAACTGGACAAGTTACGATCTCAATCACAAGGATATGGTTTGTGGGAGGGAGGGTTATCTGAGTTAGATTTAATGACCAAATGAGAATAGACTATTCTCTATTTCAAGATCACTCGATGCCATATACAAGTATTATGTGAAAGGGACCAGAGCACCTCCTCGCACAGGAGTTCAAAAACGAATTGTTGTATTCACTAGTGAAACGTGGAGTTAATGCATTCAATCAGAATTCATGAAATAAATTGCAGAGATCCGACAGAATTCCAAAACTCAATTGCACCAGCCAATAAGATAACATCTTCTGGTTTTGAGCTTTCTTTTGTTTCTATGAAAGCTCCTGTGTCCTCCTTCGCTAAACTGACTGTCCACAAAGTATGACCAGTAAAGCACGTAACATGCAATCGTGATGTCTTCAGGTTGTCCAAATCTCCTTTAAAACATTGAAAAACCCACCACCGTCCAGTTACAACACTTTGATGAATGAACTGATCTGCTTCAATGAAGGTGAATTCAGGATAAAACTGAAGTGCTTAATAGTCCCACACAGATGGATACACTACACCAGCACCTCAGACCTGTACAACAGTTAAAGCGTCTCCCACAACTGCAAAACCCAGAGTTACAAGTGTGGCTACCAATGTTCCAGTAACTGATCCAGTGGGTAGATGATCGATGAAAATTAAACTTGAGGTCTTTTTCAGAATATACCAGCAACTCGCAAGCCAAAACCAACTAAGAAACCTGTTGAAACAGAAGCGGAATACATGAACTGCTCATGCGATCCTACCAACCTCTACGTACGACTAGTTTGAAAAGTTTAAATAACTGTTTGAGATTTTAGGTGAACGTCGCCTTCTGCATTGATAACTCTGCTGGAATGCAAGCTGATTTTACTTCTGTAATGTTTATCTGGATTCTTCTTGAGGTTTATCTTTATCAATGTTCAGGTACAAGCCAACATCCATACCATCGTATCTCCTATGAACTTCGATCAAACAGACCAACAATCCGTCAGGGTTGCCCTTCTGACTTTTTCGGATACGGTGCAAGTATGTTATATGTTAACCTTTTACTGTTTCACAGCCTTTCCATTTTCTCTATAGCTTGAAATTCCATTCGATTCTTACAACGACTCTTATGCATTCATTGACAAGATGTGGTCACTCAAAGCAAACGATGTCACGGATGCTGACATCGCAGAGTTAATTTTAATTAAAAAAGCTCAAACCCGCAACGTTATTCGAATTCAGATGTCTTCGTAAAGCTTCCGAACAATTTGAAAAAACCAATCGCCCAACAGCGAAGAATGCTATCGTCATATACAGTAGTTCTTATCAGAGGTGAGCAGATGAGAGAAATGATGGATGAAATGGATTTGAAAAAAAAAAAAACGTGTTCATGCAATATATTGAACCCAACCGATCACGAATGTCAGACAACAAAAAATGAATTAAATGATTCCAATCTGTTGTGTGGGTGGTTCCCACGTTTACGTGAAATTTGACACGTCGACTTAATTAGAATTTCAGTGGTGGATTCGATGATCCCAAAGTTTTAGCAAATTCCATAAAGGAGAGTGGAATTGAATTGATTACGATAGCCGTAGTAACGGTAAGGTGATGAAGTCGCTTAGTCCAAGTAATCCATTAGTTAAGAGAAACACGGGAGATGAATCGTTGCAATTATCTCAAATAGCCAGTCCGCGCATGAACTTCACCACGGAAGAGTTTGATGAAGTGGAAGATGTCACAGATGCTTTATGTCAAGGTAGTACTCTACTCAAAGGACATTCATATGAATAATGCCTTGAAGTGAACTGCTTCTGCCCAAACAACTGGATTCAACTAACAATTGACAATAGACGATTTGGTGAATGTTATATCTTAGATACGATTGCTTCCAATTGGAATACTGCTCAGTGAGACGAACACCTTTTCGTTTTGAAACCAATTGTTGATCCCTTTTCATTTAGACGAGTGTGTTCAGCTTTGGATAATCGCGAAGGCTTTCTTGTATTCATAAATTCAAATGAAAAAAGAAAGGTTGTTGACAAAGCAGCTGAAAAGTAAGTTACAAGCGTATGGCCATCTAAGGACAAGCAATACACATTAGATATTACGAAAGAATGGGACTGGATGATATCCTGCCATATCATATAGGATTACGCAACATGTCAGGAATTTGGGAATGGACACATGTAGCCATAACAGTACATCCTCTAGTCATTCAGATCTAAGTAATTTATTTTTGTAGGATATCCAATATGTAGCGTGGGATAACATGTATCCAAAGGTGAATGCAGGTGATTGTGTAGTTGCCGTTCCCAACAATCAAACATTCGAAACTATTTGGAGAAATGCTAACTGCAATACATTTGATGCTCAGTAAGATATTTAAATCTGTTTTCATCCATTCTCACATATGTTTGATCGTTTTAAGCTCAATGTGCATGACAACTACTTGTGACACCCAAACTTACTGCTCCTTTGGATGAGGGCCGAATCCGTGCAAGACCAAAAACAAAGGAACCGAAAACAAAATCAGCAACCAAACAAATCTTCTTCCATACATTGCGTTTACGTCACTCATTGTGTCTACATATGTTATTGAGTGGAGAAAAAATCATTTTATAATATCTTTTAATAGAGCATTTTATAAAAATTATTCGAACAGAGAACTGTTTTGGATGATCAGAGAGGATTTCAGACGGATTATAGATTGAATTATAAAATTATAACAGTTAATTACATATGTAGGTGTAGATAGGAGGCACATGTAATCCGATTCATGAGCTGTGAATGAGAGTTGGAACTGATTGAACGGTATATAAGGATTGAATTGGACACCAGACCGTTATTTCATCTATAGTTTCATTACACAGTAGGTATTCTCTATAAGGTCATTTTGAAAATCTGTTTGTCTTACAAGTATGCTTGCACCTTCAACCACACTATTGAACTTCCTGTATTCTTCCTCCTCCATATGTGTTACAGAAAATGAAATCGCATTGCCTCGTTCTTGGATTTGTCG